AAATATTAAAAATAGTCTGTAAAGCTCTTCATCATCTCAAAACTTTGCTAGCTGATTATTTTGAATCAAAGCCCATCAGGTGCTGCAGCACCAAGCGGCAGAATTTAGGGGCTGTAAAATTTCGAAGAGGCAAAAGACACCAGAATTTAAGAGGTTAGGGAAGCATCCAGCAGTAGTATTTAGAACCCCAAATATTGCACAGGGTGGCAATATAAACCTAGTGAGGGACATAGCTGATAATCTAGACTTTATATTATAGTATTACGCAAGCGAGAGGAGCCCAGCTCCTCAATGGATTGAACAAAATAGTAAACATATCCTGTGTCTTATGATGAAAAGCCTCTAAGCGTTCAGGTGAGGAGGGGCATCTTTCATTTGTAAACGGGGCAAGTTTAACTTCTCTTTTCTTTCCAATAACATACACTACATACTTTATCGAGATTCACTCTCTCACCAAAGATTATTATTTTTTCCAAAATATTTATCTTTTTTCATTCGGAGTCCTTCTAAATATATCAGTGTTCAGGCTTTGAGTGGACTGTAGTTGAATTAACTTCTATTTAATCTCTAGCTGTTTCTGGTAGAAAAATTTTGTACCATTTTTGTTTTGGTTGATTATAGCAAAATTTAAATACATTGCATAATGCTGTTCGCCTCGATCATTTCGTGTTCGTATCATATTACATTATACATGTAGATTTTAAAATGAAGATCACAGAACAGGCAAACTTTTCATAAGAACCCTAATGAGTATATTCTGTGAAAACGCCGTTTTATCTCCATAAGAATTTTTTGATTTTCCTTTAATAATTTTGGAAACCTATAGTTTTCCTTTTAAGACCACTGACTAGTCTTCTTTTCTCATTTCTATTTGTGCAGTAGTACGCTGTTGTAATAACTATCTTGACATACAGTAACATCTCTTAAAATCAGAACCCAACTAACCTGTAATATGAAAATAACCTTTGAAGATATCAATTTAAATCCGAAATTTAGGCGTAAGAGATAAGTTAAAATGTGGAAAATATTTATTTTATGTTTTTGTCGCCCAAAATAGCAACCCTAATCAACTAATGGATCAAAGAATTATATAGAATATAAAGATGAACTACTAGTACCTTTTTATGCGTAGATATGTGAAATTTTAAGATAGTGTTCATCATTTCCAGAAACAATTCCCAAACGACACCAGATATGGTTTGGCTCTTGCTTGAAAAATTGCGAAGAACATTATTTTACATTACTTTTGGCGTAAATATCATGATGTTTGTATAGAAAATGAGTCTGGTGACGAAGATTCTTTTGGTTTTTAACGTGTTCGATGCTCGTGGCTGAAGTCCTGGATTTGGTTACGTGTTCGGAGAAAATTAGTATTGAGGAAGCTAAGGCGCAGGTTTGGGTGGATGTAAAACATTCTGTTTCTGCCACTTGTCAAATTGACGACAAGATAATCAATCATGGACTGGGAAAGGAGAGAGATAATGAGGAGGAAAGGGAGGATGAAGATGAAGACATACAGAGCAAGAACATTACGTGGAGAGAAGGTAAAGAAGGACTGAAGACTTCATAAGATAAGCTGAAAAATGTTCGTTTCTATGATAACATACTTTATGAAGCTTCATTGTATGCACAGCGAATTTTTAAAATTAGGACGAAAATCATGTCAGTAAGCAGTTATAGTCCCCGACATTGAAAATGCAACACCAAGAAGGAGTGGCCAGAAATTGATGAAAGAGCAAACAGAGAGAGAGAGAGCAATGAACAATAAGTGATACTTATTTCGAAATGATGTGCATAATACCGAGCGAGAACAGCATTGGTTCAGTAGGTTGTAGGACAGTCGTCTTGGACGGCGATACATGAAGCAATACGTCTAGTACTCCGAGTCACTGAGACGACGAATGGTGTCTTGAAGAACGGTTCTCCATTCCTTGTCAACTATTAGCCACAGTTCGTCTTTTGAACGCGGCAATGGCAGGGTGTCCAAATGGTGTCCAATCACATCCCAAATATATTCGATTGGTGCGAGATCAGGAAAGAATGGTGACCACCTTACAGGGCACGTTGCCTGATGTGAGCAATGTCTGGACGAGCGTTATATTGCTGATAAAGGGCACTGGGTACTCCCTGAATATAGGAAAGTGTCAAGTACCGTTGGGCCGTCAAAGAGCCCTGAATACGAACTAGACGTCATCTGGAACCGTATGCAATTGCGCCTCAAACCATGATGCCGCGTAGTCGCGCGGTGAGGCGGTCCACAATTGCTGCCGGCTTGGACTTCTCCACATCGACACACTCTTACATTGGAGAAATAGACTATCATTGGAGAAATAGAAGCATGATTCATCTTAGAGCACGACGCTCTGCTATTCCATCGTACATATCGGCACCATTGCAGACGTTGGCGTCTATGATGTGGCGTCAATGGCAGTCTTCTTAACGGAAGGCATGAGTGCAGACCATTAGCCATCAATTGATCGCAAAGACTCTGGTCGTTATGATCATCCAGAGTACCTTGAAGATGCTACAGAATACAGGTAGAAGTGGCTTGCAGGTGCGCCTTCGCTTCTTGTCGGATGCCTCGATCCACGCGTTTTGTCATCACTCTGGTTGCACCGGCACTCCTCAAACTTGCCACATTTTCTTGTTCCAACCGTCCGTCGTCGCTACAGCCAGTCCATTGTGGACATGTCCAGGTGTGTGTCAGCTGAGATTTGCCCGTATGAACCAACCTGCCATTCTCAATCCGATCACCATGCCCCTCGTAAAATCACCTGTCTGCTGTACCTGCCTCCGTTGACGACGGCCTTGCATTCTGCTGTTACACGCGTCCTCTGAGGCAAGAACAAATTTTCTATGATTATTTCTGTAACAGAAATAACGGCACGAAAACTGAACATTCTGCGGGTTCCTTCCCTTGTATCTTCTTCAGCGTGCACTGGAGAGTTGCCCATTTTGTTCATTCGAATAACTTGGTGACGTGCGTCTACCCTGAAATTTGCATAATTTTCAGACCACCCCTTCTTAGCGTTAAATTGCCATTACACTAAGAAATACGTAATTTTCATGGGATAATAATATGTTATTTTAAAATGCTATTTAATTTTGGTTTTAAGAAACACAAAATAATGCAACAAATCGTGAAAAGATCCAAAAGCTATTTTTCGAGTTTTAAGAGAAATTGGTACTTTAGGTAAAGGATAAGTAAGCTTTCTGTTCTGGTTGACCGTCTGTTTACATCTTAGAAATTTCTTTAATATCAGAATGATTAACGTTCGTTTTCGGTAAAGTTTTAACATAAGACTTATGACCTTTTTTCATGCTCAATGATAGGTCCAGTTATGTGCAAGTGGGTGGAACACCAGAATTTCATTAATGGTTGCACAATAAAGCCTCACCACACAAATTATGCACTTGCCCGCTAGTTTTGATTGGAAGCATGACCTTTTCCCCTTCCAACAAATCATTGGATAGGTTTTCAGTACCCAAGACACTAGCGAACCGTCGGTCCGTTAGTATTTTGTATACCCCATACAGCACAGACACTATATACAAACATACATGCCTTTTCCATACTTTGAACCCGATCCCATCCGTAAATCAGATAGCGTCATTAACCACTTTGCCGATCAGGCGGTCCAGTTTGGTGACAGATAGATAGATAGACGTATAGAGGACACCTAATATCCACAAGTAGTAAACAGGTATAGTCTCTCCATGCTATTTCTCTAAGACAAAATATTAATTGATGGGGTACATTCTATTGTAGTACATACTGTTGCATTCTTACTATTCATAACTTTTATATAATAGTTAAATTTTGAGTAGTAATCAAATTGAAGAAATCATTATCAAAAAGTACATTTGTTATTTTACTTAAACTTTCTGGATTTTTCAGCGTAAGTGTAAATACGAGTATACTCATGACCAGTTAGCTACGTTTGAACGCAGAGACATTTTTATGTCCTTTAATTATAGACAACAAACAATCCGCAATATGTTTTACCATAATATCTCTATTTTTGTACGTAAACACAACATTAAAATTTGTTCGCACTGTAAGTATTTAAATTAGATTTTTTTTGTATGAATTGGCGTTAAATTAGCTACTGATGCTTTCTATTTAAAAGCTAAACACTTGATTTTATTCAAACTTAATATTTTATTGCAAAAGAGCAAAATATTATGATGGGTTTAAATTTTGACCAATATTCATAAAAAGGAGCACTAGCAAAAATTATACTGATGTCTTCTATCTATCTCCCTTTAAAATAATCTACTTTAATTTCCCTCCTAATTTTATATGTTGACTTCTATATTTCATAATGTTATTTTATTTCTAACTAGTTTGTCACTTAAAGTTGAAAAGAACTGAATTTAAAAACTTGTTATTGGCAGTGTTGTCAGGAAATTAGTTTGTACAAATATAGTCATACTTAGTTTAAAGGTCTTTGAGTTAAACATTGTATTATATTCCTGAATGACAAGTAATCCCGAATTCTTTCTGCTTATTGAGAAAATTATCTTTTGCTAGGCTATAAACACAACCAATTCTTTCCTTCTTTCGAACCACTACAAGTTTTAGTAACTTATTCCAGATTCTCTTCAGTTATTATTTTATTTTAGTTATGTAAAATAATTAAGATGAAGGAAATATTTTAAAATGTAGGAATAGAAGATAAAATATATATACAGAAATTCTACGTAAATGAGATCTAGGATTACGAGAGGAGGAGAATCTGCTCAACTTAACATGCATAGAATTTCATAAAATTATACGTTTGTCTTTATACATACAAATATAAAATCTAAAAGTGCCGTCAGAAGCCCTCTAAGGTATATAATTATTTCACTTATACTCTCAAGTCTTAAAATTTATATTTCATTTTAAATTCGTATCAGCTTATTATATCTTAAATTATATGAGAATGGAAACTGAAGTTTAGACATAAGCATCGGATATTACTTATAGTGTATGAAAGTATTAAGTAAATACTTACACGAGCTGCTTTTGAATCAGTTTCTTTTGTTGTCACTAAGGTTGGTGTTTCATATTTTACTAATGACAATGAAGGGGCTGCTATCATCTCACTCAGAGATGTCGCCATGTCTTTTCCTTCCAATGCGTTCGAGAACTGTTTTTTTAGTTCAAAATATACCAAATGGGAAGAAAACTGTATTAAAATCTACGCTGCATTAACAATTTTGCTGCATTCCTATCTTCAATGAAAATTCTTCGTGCCGCATGGTATCGATAAAGAATGGAAATTGTTGGAAAGAAGATTCGGACAAGAGACTCTTATATTGTTGTCATCGGTTACCGTGGCAACTTAACAGGACAACTTTTCGCGCCATTTCTTTCGTTCTTGGTCACACTTTACTGCATCACGTATTCCGACCTTGATGCTACTTTATCGTGCTAGGGACATCATATAAAAATGTATCCAAGGTCTACTTTCAGCTGAACTAAATGCATTCCTACAGTAATGAAAGCACTAATGATGCATGCTCTATGTTCATATAAATCGATTGTACTCAAGTATTGTTACTGATATCTCAGAAAGATTCAATCGATTGTACTCAAATAATTGCAGATTTCAGCTCAAAAATGTAGTTTATTTTTAATTCAACTGTTGATATGAATGTGCTTTTCATATGTTAAGTTGCTTCGCAGCACGAGCCAATTACTGTTAACTATACAGGAACCAAATATATTGTAAATATGCTATGTGGAAATGCTTAAAAAACTAACTTGTTATCTAAAGAGTAATTTAAATTGGCGTGTTATTTAATTAAAAACTCTATTTTTTTTTTTATTTGATGGAGCAAATTTATAGAATTCACCTACAGCTAACACAAGTGAAACACTTCTAGAAATTATAAGGTTATTATTTAAATTAATAAATTATTTATAATTTTAGCTTTTACTATAACTTCCTCTTTCCGTTTTCTCACCAGAATGTAAATGAGCTAGAGAGTATATAAGCTGAAGTTTTTGGAATTTAGCCCAACAAAGTTACGGGTAATGGGCAGCCAAAGAAGACAGAAAATTATCCAAAAACACAAAGACAACTACAGAGATTCTGCGAATGCGGCGACCAACCGAGTGAGCAGCAATGCCTGTTGGGAAGTCAACGAAAGAGAATCCCAGTTATGGCAGAGCCTTACAATGACGGGAAGAAGTTGGTGCAGACAAGCCAGAGTTTACGCGGAAAACGACCGAGGATGAAAAGTCCTTTGCGAATCAAAGAAGGGTTCCGACGGCACAAAATCTAGTAGCAAGATAATAGCCTGCTGCACCAGATTTTCCACAGTCCCAGGGGAAGTCCGGACGCATACGAGACAGGTGACAGGTGACGGAGGACGTGGACGCCTGGTGTTTAACAGAGGGTAAACAGGCATATGTCCCGCGCCCTCCCCTATTTAGTGACAGCAACTCTCTGAGCCTCATGAGGCCACCTCGGGAGTTTATTGAAGAATTTTACGTAACTGTGTATAGCCAGGGGCGTCTTAAGAATACATTAGTTTTCCTCGATATGTGAATGATTTGTTACATCCTGGTTTGTTAAACACAAATTACAGCATATACAAACACATACACTTATACTTGCACATATAAAGACACATACAAAACACGTGTAAAACACATAAGAGCACATATATAACACATATAAAACATGTAAACACATTATAGAATAATAGAAATTAGATATTAGTTTGCACACACTTATTCAAGTACGCATACGAGACAGCCAGACGAATACGAGAATCCCGAAGATTGTAAAGAAAGTTTATTGAACTCGGTCATCCAAACGAAATCGTATGCTAAAACTGTGGCGCATCTGTTGGGATAAATCAGACTGATTCAGATTGCTGTGTTTTTGTGAGTGCAGCATTAGTAATGATGGCCTCTTAAAAATTATTGAAGAACAAAATCCTGAAATTACTGTGAGTGAAGAAAATTAGAAAGACGGTAAAGATCGCTTTTACTTTGAAAAAGTTTCATCATGAGAGAAGCATGGATATTAAGATGCATCCTGCTGTGGGCAAGCGTATTTTAAATTTTGGACGTATTAAAGTGATATATGTGTAAAGCTGAAGATTTTGTTGTTTTAAGATTTAGATGTTTTAAATGCTTAGGCTACTACAGAAGTTTTGATTGTAGAAATCCCTTGGCTTGTTATTGCTGCTCTGGTGAGCATAACAGTGCAGAATGCGATGAAAAAGAAGTGCAAGTGTGTGTTAATTGCATATGATTTAATTAAAAAACGAAACATGCAACTAAGAAAGTTGATGTAAATCATAAGCCATTTTCTGGAACTTGCTCCAGTTATACATTTATGATGAATCTTGCAGTTTCAAAAATTTATTATGGGTAAGTACTACAATTCATCTGTTTCTTTTGTACAAAAAAAATTTGCTACTCAGAAACTTATTTTATATATGGAGGCAAATGACACTAATGTCGCACTGATTCAGGAGCCACATTTTTATACGGGTGTTCTTCCTGGCTTTCCAATAAAATATAAAGTTTACTATGATTCTGAAGCAAATGTTGTCATCTGCTGTATTGTTCGCAACCAGAATCTTTCTCCTCTTTTGGGCTTAAATCATACAGTTTATAATACTGTTGTTTTTAGATGTAAAAATTAATGCATCTGCCCTGACTATTTGTTCCGCTTATTTTGAGCCCAAAACTAATACTGATGTAGAACTATTAAAAATTTCACGTATTTTAGCGCTTAAGAAACCATGCAATTTTTAGGTGGTATGGATTCGAATAGCAAATTTTTATGTGGTATGGATTCGAATAGCAAACTAAGGTATTTGGCATAGTCCTGTTACTGATGCTAGAGGGACGAAGCTTGGCGATTTTTATTAATGCGAATCATTTGTTTCTACTTAATGAAAATCGCGGACCTACTTTCTGTTCCACGCATGACTCGAGTTATATTGACCTTACGCTTTGTAGCTTGGGACTATTGCCACGCGTTCAAGGTTGTGATATCTCCGAGGAAGATTCTCTTTCTGAGCACAAAATGATATCTTTGAACTTGTTTATGTCGTCCGGTTATATCTTCTAATTTGCATATTTGTAATTTAAAAAGAGCGAACTGGTTTTTATTTACTGAACTTTGTAAGAGAGAATTGTGTAACTTGAATATCGTTCTTAACAGTTGCTCTGAATGGCATTAGAAAATGTTGTAAACAGATTTTCTACCGTTATTTTTAATTGTGCTTCATTTTCAATTCCAATGAAGACACTGCTTTTTTTTTTTTTTTTTTTTTTTTTTTTTTTTTTTTTTTTTAGGTTTTTATTCCAATGAAGAAAAGAAAGAAGAATGGTGTTTCTCGGTGGTCTAAGGAAATTTATTGTTATAAAAAGGATATAAATGCTGCTAGGCGTAGATTCCAGAGAGAAAGAAACAGTGTTCTTAAAGATATATATAAAATTAAGTATTTTAAGTTGCGATATAATTATAAGGCTAAATTAGCTAATGCCAAGCTTGACTCGTGGAGAAATTTTCTCTCAACTATTAATGTTCACAATATCTGGAAATATATATATGAGGTCAAGACCAATTTTGCGAAAAAGATTGGGATTTCGGGAATTCAACTCCTGGATGGCAGTGTTACTTCGAGTTTGAGTGATTCAATTGTTGCTATAATGACAAAGAATTTCTCAAGAGATAATGCGCGTGATGATAGAAATTCTCATAAAACTATGCGTACTGAGTCTGAAGGACTTTATATTTCATTATTTATGGACTGACCGTTCTCTACTTCAGAAGTTAATAGTGTTTTTAAAACTCTCAAGAAGAACAAATCATCTGGGCTAGACTCTCTTTCCAATGAAATTGTACAGCACTTTTATGCGGTGAATAGCATTTTTCGCGCAGACCTTTGTTTACAATTAGGAATTTTTCCAGCACAATGGAAGAAGGCTCGTGTTGATCTGGTTCCTAAAACTTTAGATACAAGAACTCCTTATCTTGATGATATTAGATGCATTAGTGTTTTGCCTACTTTGAGAAAATGTTTTTAAACTCTTTTCATTAACAGAATAACTTGGTACCTGAGACAGAAATTTTTTTATAATGATTCTCAGTTCGCCTCTACTCCTCGGAAGTCTGCTGAAGATGCCATTATTCGTCTTTGTAATATCTTGCAGAATGGAAAGAAAAGTGGAGTTTACTACAATTCTTATTTTCCTGGATTTCAAAGGGGCTTTTGATAATGCTTGGTAGCCATCTATCTAAAAAATTCTAAACGATGCTGGTATGCCTCATAATATATATATCCTTCTTAAAAGCTTCTTGAATGGGAGGACTGCTGAGATTCAGCTTGGAACCGAAGCTAAGGTTTATTCTCTAGAAAAAGGCTATCCTCAAGGTTCGGTGTCCGGACCTACGTTTTGGAACATAATAATAAATGATCTTTTAAGTCATCTCGACGACTTACTTTTAATTTTCCAAGGAAATATTGAATAAGATTCATAATTGAATAAGATTTGAGAGCACAAGAATTTCTTGATTTTGTCTCCAATTGGACGATTTCTCACAAACTCACTTTCAATCCCTCGAAAAGTAAAGCTATTATTGTTCCCAGAAAGTTTGATGAAAAAAATATTCCTCCTTTGATACTTGATGATTTTCCATTGGACTTTGTTGAAAAATGTTAAGTATCTTGGTCTCATTCTTGACCAAAAATTAACATGGAAAAAGCACATTGAATTCCTTTCTGCTAAATGTGAAAAAATTATTAATGGCTTTCACCGAATCGCCAAAATACTTTTGGAGTAAGCTACGATGTTATGAAACTGATGTATAAGCGATGTATCGTACCTTTCTTTTCGTACGTCTGTCGGGCTTGGAGACACATTCTTGCAAAGAAGGTTAACAAAAGAAATTCGAGAAAGATTCAACGGCGAAGTTTTCTTCGTATTATTAGTGATTATAGAACCTTAAGCTATGAGGCTACTTTTGTTCTTGCAAGGAGTTCCACCTATTTATTTTGAAATTGCTTATAAGAATAATATTTTCGAGTCATTGGCAACTGATGCCTTGGGAGATTGCATAAATGGAATTGTCCCCTTCACTGATCTTCCTCATCCCGCTACTTTAGAGCCCATAAATTTCTGCGACTGATGGTTACAACTGTTATAATTTATATATTTGACCAAAAAGAAGTGTTTATTTCTTTAAAAAAGGCTAGAAATGTCAGTATTGACGACT